GTCCAGTCCAACCATTATCCCAGTGTAACCACTAAACCACATCACCCAGCGCCGGATCCAGACGCCTCTTGAACACCTCCAGGGATGGTGACTCCACCACCTCCCTGGGCAACCTATTCCGATGCCTGACCACCCTAACAGTGACAAAACTTTCTAATATCTAATCTGAATTTCCCCTGTCTCAGCTTAAGGCTGTTTCCTCTTGTCCTCTCACTACAGGCGTGGTAGAAGAGACCCCACTCCCACCTGGCTGCAGCCTCTTTTTGGGTAGCTGTAGAGTGATGAGGTCCCCCCCTGAGCCTCCTCAACAACTAAACAATGGCTCCCTGAGCCATTCCTCAAAAGACATGTTTTCTAGACCCTTCAGGAGCCTTGATGCCCTTTGCTAGGCATGCTCCAGTATCTCAATGTCCTTGTCAAAGTGAGGTCGTCTCTCTGCACTGCCCCTGATGGAAATGGATTTTTCTGTGTCTCCTGAGCTGAGAGGGGCAGGAGGACCTGCAGTCAGCAGGGCTTGGGGTGCAGGTGCTGGGCCTGGACCCTGTTTCTTCAGGGCACCATTATTTTGGGGGAACCCTGCCCAGCCTCTGGCCCCTGTGGGCTCACACAGCTGAATCCAGCCTGGATTTTTGGTGTAAATAATTGGTCTCCTGCCCACATCCAGCAGTGATGTGCTGTGGGACTGGACAAAGCCTGAAGCAGGCAAGTGTTGGGCTGGAGGTGATGAGGGGTGAGTGCTGAGGGGTCCCTTTACACTGAATTTCAAGGATGGAGCTGGCTGTCACGACTACCTCTCTTTGTGGCACTGAGGTGTCCACACAGGAACGAGTTTTGTGCTCTTCCACCTGCTGTTAACTGGTGTACATGAGCCAAATCTTGAAGGTTTTCCACGTAAATCTGGAATAATTATAGCCCATACAAAGTAAGAGCTGGCCTGTTGTCCTTGCTATCCATAACCTGGAAGATAATTAGTTTCTGTAAATCTGTATATAAAACAGAGGGCTGGGAAATAAAACCCGACCAAACCACTTATAAACTGAATAATGGCAAAAAAACTTTTTACTTTACCACTACCTTTGAGATAATATGCTCTTGGTCTCTGTCCCTGTGACTTCAGGCTGAGGCCATCCCTTTTTATTTAAGGGTGTTCATTTATAATTTTCTGCTGGTATTTTGGCTGCTGCCCAGTTTTCAGGCTTGTTCTCTTTTGGTGTTAGTGTCCCATCACCTCTCACCACAGGAAGAGGGCAGGTAGGGAATCATATTTATTTAATAGGACAGCTCTGTGCAGCTTCCCTTCTAAAGGTGGCCAGTATGGGGAGAACAGGCTGTTCTTTGTACAGCTGGAGACACTGTTGAAATAGTTTGATCAGATACTATCAAAGGAGTTATTTGGAAGTTCATTATCAGTCCTTACAGATATCCAAGTCAAGACTCGTTGGCTTCTCTTCTTTTCGTGCCTTGTTACTTGAATTACAGTGGAGAGGAGCTGGGAGGAGCCTTGTTGGTGCAGGCAGGAAAAGGTTAAGAGCCGTTTGTATCACCTGGGAAAGCAATTCTTTGATTTTTCAGAGGGCGCTAACATGCTGCAGCTCATGGAAACAAAGGAAAGGGGATCAAGCAGAAAAGTTGTTCTTGGATTTTATTCTCAGTGGTAGAACTTGTGAGGGCTGGGTGTTGATGTCTGCTGGAAAATACGGAGTTTTGGATTAAAAAGAATTTTTTTTTTTTCCTTCTTCATTCAAAAAATGATCTGTGAGGTAAGTCTTGATTCCAGCTGGTGACTTTAGGTAACTTCTTTTTAGATCGAGGGGTAAGAAAAACCTTTATCTTGCTGACCCATTTTAAAACAGTGAATTCTTTGCTTAAATTGTTCCTTGGGCAGGGAGCACAGGCAGGAGTGTGAGTCAACAACTGTAAAAATCCCACAACGCTTTCCTGTGTTGTCTGCATTCAAATTGCTTGCATTAATTTCCGAGCTAAAGTATGGAAATTCAGGAACTGGGAGAAGCATAATGAGTCAGGGGAATTTGGGACTCAGAGTTGCAGTAAATATTTCAGTGATGACAGGAGTCTTTTGAATTGTAGTATCTATGTTAATGTGCTTTTGCAGCTGATGCTTCAAGCATCTTCTGGTGGTGGTTCTTAAAGTGCTTCCCAAGCCTTGTCTCCTTCATCCTCACTGCACTCCCAAGGGTTTTGTATTTTCAGATCCTGTAAGGACTTTGGTGGCAGCTGGTTCAGTTGTTGCCCCTGTGCATGTGCTGATCCTTAAGGGCAGATTGCTTTAGGGGATGTAAGAGAGGGGTCTCAATTGCCATTAATTCCTTGCCTATCTGCAGCTGAGACTGAGGAGTTCTCACCTTAAAAAGTGCTGCTGATTTTTGTGTGTGTGTGTGAAAACAGCTGCTTCTTCACAGCAGTGTGTCTGACCGAAGTGTGATGGGTGGGAACAGCTCACACACAGTTGTCACTGAAAGCAAGTGCCCTGTGAAGTTTTTATATCCGGTGGAGAGCCCTGCAAAAACGATCCATTCACCTTGGAAATACTAAACTGGAAATAAAATGTACTCTCAACTCTTGGGCAGGTTTAACTGCAGCTTGTTCCTTGAGGTATTTCTCTGAGGCTGTCTCTAAGGTACTGAATTCTGGTGGAGTTATTGAACTTTGGGTGGGGGGAATGCTGATTTAATGGGTTTTTTTCTCTTTGCAATTGTCAGTGAATGCTGTAAGTCAGTGGTATCTGATGTGTGGGTTATTTCCCATCGGGATACAAGGGCAGCACTGTGGTGTAACTCGCTGCCCACCTGGTGCTGTGATACAGATAAGCATCAGTCCCTGCAAGAGTTGCCTTGCCAGTTCTTCCTGCTCTTCCCTGCTGTTCCCAGCTTCCCTTTCTCCCCCACATTTTGCTCAGGCCCTGGTTTCACACTGTCCATGAGGGACAAGGCTATAATCCAGCCAGAGCTGGTGGATGTCACTTCTTTCATCTTAGACATGAACACGCTGAAAGGCAGAGTTGGGGCTGTTTGGTTCCTGCACATTTTGTTCCTCATCGCTGCCTTTCTGTTCCCCTCATCACACAAAGCTTTTATCATCTCCCTGCTGGTGTCCACAAAGTGCAGGAGGAGCTGTGGATGTTCACAGCTTCTGAACTGTCTGTTCCCAGATTCTGGCTGGACAGGAATCTTTTATCACCCCGTCCTATTTTGGATTAATATGTTCTTTGGAAAGGTTATGACATGCTCTGATCTATCACATTCTGCTGCTTCTGGATCCCTGTGGCAAGTGCAGAAATAAATCCCTGCAGCCTGGTGTCAGAAACTCTATCTTGAAGCACATTGCACGTGATTCACAGTTAAATGCTGTTGTTTGCAGGGATTGCTTTTGCATTAAACAAAAGATTGCAAACCCAGATTGTCTCATTCAGCAAGATTTCTCTTATTTGAAGAAGTTATTTTTCTAAAAACTGGACTGTTAAGTGCTTTTTCTTCTGTTGTCAGTATCTGACATTCGTTTAAGCTGCTCAGTGTGAATACCATTTCCAATTTCTTTACCAGTGCTATTGATTAAAATGCAGTTTACTTTTCTCGGGAAAATTTGATATTCAAAAATGTCTTTTCACTGTGAGTCAGAATGTACTTTTCCATGGAATAAAAATTCTGGAAAGAAAAAAAAAAACAGCTATTGGAAATGTTGAACAAATTATATTGTCATTTCAACCAGGTTATATAAGAAAAATGAAAGAACTTCAAAGTAAAAATGAAGGGCTCTGGTATTTTTCTCATATTTTGAGAAAATTAGTACATTTCTTTGCAGTTGTTAGATTTCATTTGTTCAGAGTTTTCCATATGAAACTCTCAGAATGTTCTGTACTGGCCCTAACTCCAAGTTCCTGTTTAATTCAACTGGCTGTTTCAAGTTACATATTAAAAATGAATTATGAACCTTTTTTCTCCTTTGTCTTCAGCCACTGGTCATTCTTTAGAAGTAACAGAAGAAGGGGGTGTTTCCAATATTGTACAGAAGTCTGTAGTTCTCATGCTATAAATGC